GCACCTGGAACAAAATCAATATGGTGCTGTATATCTCTCATGGGAGGGAGTCCATTTGGTAATTCCTCTGGAACTACATCATGGAATTCATCAAGTAGTCCCTGCACTTCCACTGGAATTTTATTTTCATCATTAACATTTTCTCYMTTTACTACTAACAAATGTACCTCACGAGTATTCTTACATTCTTTTACAAATTCAGCATGATGATGGGTAATGGTAAGGAAAATTTTCTCATGTGCTTTTGGGGCCTTTGCAATGTTCTTTTCAGCCATGGGTAACAAAGTATAACGTATACCATCTTTTTCAAGTTGGTAGGTATTCTTCCTACCCATGTGCCTTGCATCTGTATCAAATTGCCAATGCCTCCCTAACAAAATATGGCAAGCATCCATATCTACAATATCATAATATACTTCATCATGGTACTTACCAATAGAAAAAGGTACCTTGCAGTGCTCCTCCACTCGTACGCCACCTCCTTCCTTGATCCACCCAATTGTATATGGGTTTGGATGTTTTTCAGGAAGTAACTGTAACCTTTGTATGACATCCCTGCAAATAATATTTTCTTGACTACCACTATCAATCATTAAATCAAATAATTTACCCTTGACAGTACATCTAGTACGGAACAATCTGTGCCTTTGAGAAGTATCTTTATTTTTCTAGGACAACATTAATTTTCTCACAACACAGGTATACTCTTCATGTTCGTATGAACCCTCTTCATCCTCCCCATCAGGGCCACAATATACCTCCTCCTCAATATCTTCTTCCTCCTCCCTTTCTACCATATTAACTGCCTTCCTCCTGGGACAGTCACTGGATCTATGTCCAACATCATTACATTTAAAGCATTTAATAGGAGCAGGCCTTGCATAAGGGTTACTGGATTTAGGAGGGTTGGAAGGATTACCTTGAGTATGTCCTCCTGTAGTAGCCTTACCAGCGTTACTTGTGCTTACCGGGTGAAAGGGTTGTACTGCCGGGACTGATTTGTTCCTGTCGACAGTTGCCGGTCTGTTGTCGCTCCCGCTGTACCGGTGGTAATTATCACTGCGTACCTTGTCTTGGAACATTAATTATGCTTTCAGGGCTAGGTTCCTTGCTTCCTGCACACTAAGAACCATTTGTACACCAATTTTGTCCCTGATGGACGGTCTTAACCCGCTCAGATAACAGGCTGCCTGCTGGTTATCACTTTCAGACAACTGGTTTCTTTYTGSTAATCTTAAAAATTCTGATGTGTACTCATTAACACTACGTGAACCCTGCGCACACCGCTGGTAAGATTCAAACATATATTGTTCATAGTTAGGAGGTAAAAATCTACCTCTGATTAATTGTTTCATGCGCCTCCAAGTTCGAACAAGACCCCTTCCTTCTCTGATCCGGGTCTCTCTCATCCGTTCCCACCAAACAGATGCGCCTCCCTTTAATCGGAAAGCTACCAGTTTTACCCTTCGTTCCTTTGGTATCTCCATGTAATCAAAGAATCTGTCGACTTCTGTGGTCCAATCCAGAAGTCCTTCTATGCCAAGATCTCCACTAAAAGTAGGAATATCTACCTTGAGTTTAAATTCATCATTATTCCTACGGGGGTTGAAGTTACCTTGATTATGCCAATTCCTATCGTTTTTGTCGTTGCCGTGAAGAACTGGAGCACCACCAAATTCTAGATCATCATCACTATCGTCGTCCAGGACTGGTCATCGGAGCGCAGTACTGACGGGTGGTCTGTCGTGGTTGTCTCCTTCGATTTGCTGTGGATGTTCCCGGTTCCGTGGAACAACCTCCCGTAACAAGGTTCACAGTTGTTCAACCATCTCTGTCAGCTGCTGCTCGATGTTACGTGTGGCCGTACGCTGTTTTTCGATTGCTCTCCAAACAGCTGGAAACCCCTGATCACCGTCACGGGGTGGGTTGCGACTGCTACCGTCTTGGTTGGCCATGATTAGGCGAATTCCCTGCTCTGATACCACCTGACGCAGCGTGGAAGCAATGGACACCGGAGCTGGCTATGCAAGCACTGGGCATTCGCTAGTTCCTAGCGAATAACACCGATTTCCCTAGGAGAGAGAAAAGGTGGCGAAACTTGAAGAAATTCTGAAAATATGAAGTGTGTATTAACTGGAAATAATCAATATTTATAGTATATCTTGGAAGTTGTAAAGTAACTAGGAAAGAACATGAATCTTGATCTTGATCTTGATCCTCTTGGGCTGTCCTAATAAGGTCGAACCTTCTTGGAGTTCTTGGGCTTGATCTCCCACCGTACGATCTCCTTGGCTCTCCTTATGCATGAATCTGGGTAGTCTTGCTAATCTTGATGCTTCTTGGAGTCTTGTTGGAATTCCGATATTGATTTCTTGATAATCTTGGAAGTTTTGCTAATCTTGAGAGTCTTTCTTTATCTTGAGTTCTTGGAAGTTCTTCTTATCTTTCTTGGACTTTATCTTGACTTAACCTTATCCTAGGAGCTGCCGCCCCTAGGGGTGAGATGGGCCTTATGATGGGCCTCCATCAGAAACACACCATAATAACACGAATCAAATATGTACTTTATTCATTTACATTAAATGTCATAATGTACATCATTCTGATTGGAGCTAAGGGCATACACTGTCTAACAGGGCCTTCCTGGGGTTGCTAGGGAATGTGAGTGCGCCTGGGGTTGGTAGGGAATCTGAATGCACGTAGGGTTGGCAGGGCCTCATGAGCCGAGCTCTATTAGGCTCGAGCTCGGCTCGTTTCTTAATTGAGCCTGTGAATTGGGCTTTGAACTCGGCTCGAAGCTCGGTTGAAACCGAGCCATGCTGGGTTTTTCACAAGCTGAACTCGATTAGCTCGTGAAGAGCTCGGCTCGTTTCCACCCGTAGTCCTAGGGGATCAAAATGCATTTGGACCATTTACTAATAATGCTCACAAAAATTAAGAGACGGAAAAATCTAACAGTTCATAGCATAACAGAAAAGGCAAATAAAAATAACAGAAAGGGCAAATAAAAATAAAAGTAATAATTTTTTTTAGAGACATAGAAGCAATCAGAATCGTCAAAATAAAGTTGCGCTACAAAACTGCATGGATGATTAAGGCAATATTTGCTTCAAAAACAGCATGGTTTACGGTCACACTTCGGTTGGTTGCCTAAAATTCAATATAATCGACAATCAAGTAGAACTTTGCAAACTACTTAGATATGAACATCAACAGATCTATTCGTTAATACAAACGATTACAATAGCAGATTTTTCCAATAGAATTAGTTGCCAAGAAGCGTTTGAATTTCCAACCCAGAACATGATGATAGATATAGAAAGAAGGCATATTCCTTCTCCTTTCTTTGCGATTTACGATGAAGACCCAACCCAAACATGGGAAATGAATTGAACCCATTTTCCTTAGGTAATAAGAAAGGATGAAGGATCAAGAATGATCTGAGTTTGACGATTGAATATGAGGTTCTATAGAAATGAAATTAAAATTCCTCAGGCTATCCTATGCTGAGTTGCATGGATGAAAAATTATATGACGTTGTCTAGAATATATAGAGGCAGAGATCTAGTGATAATAAACAGAGTTCAGAAAAATAAATCGCAAACAGAGATCGAATCAAATAAAGGAAACGATCTTGAATATATGATGTTGCCTAAAAGTTCTCTTTTTTGTAAAGGAAAATTTAATTAGTAGTAAAAAAAAAAAAAGCTTCAATCCTACAGAGTTTATCAAAGCTCCCCTGCCCTGAAAGGATCTGCGAAACTTTTGCGCGCTTTTGATCAGGCTCTGAGTTCTAGCTAGGTTTTCAAAATTGAAAATATCATTGAAATAACTTCAGTAATTCAAAGGAATTTCATAGAAAATTTCCAAAACTCTAAATTAATCAGAGATTGTACGGGGCTTACCTGAACCGGCAAAGTGAATGGAGGCGGTCTTCTGGGTACTGAGAATCACTCCCCTTCTTTTTCATTCAAATCGTTTCGCATCGTTCCCTTCCGCAAGCGTCAACTAGAGGTCTGGTCTTCTCCTTTTTTTTGGATAGGTGCCTATTTACATCACACAGGTGCCAAGCGACTGCTGCTAAAGGCATTGCTAATGGACGAGGGAGTTTTGAATATCCCAGTTGTCAATCCGGGCGGCTGGCGATACCTTATTGTAGCTTCCATTCTTAGCTATGTCAGTAGTTACGATAATAATGGCAGCGAAGATCCGACATTAGTTTATCATTCACGGCGTAAAAATAAGTCCTGAAGCGAGGGTTTTTTTTCTTTGAAACAGATTTATGCGGGCACCAATGGAAAGCCCACAATAACAGAGAATGAGAAGGGATGATCCAATGATCCAAAATAGGGACGACTAACGACCGAACGAATCAGAGAGGGAGATTAGTCAAATAACTCTAGAGCGAACGACGGATAAGTTACTCCGTGGATTGAAATGGCAAGCTTGTTTCTTGTGAAATTGCAATGCCATGAAATCCCACGAAAGGATTTCTTTTCCCATTTTTTTTTTGAAATCTCGAGCAATAAAATAATTGTCATCACTTTCTCTGGAGATCAGAGATTTAACCAGAGATTCTATTGTAAGTACCATGGTAAGGCGGAGATTGGTCAGTCTCCGAAGGTTCAGAGATGATGACGGAAAAGAGAGAGGATGTGGGGAAGAGAGGAGAAGAGAGGAGAGAAAGGAGTTGTCTCCCTCTCAGAAACCCTAGGTCCTTGTCGTATATCCTGGGGAAGAATTGCTCTCCCCTTTTATAGAGAGAAAAGTCAAGGCTATAAAGAAAAGAGTTCTTTTTCTGTTAGGAAAGAAGATTCTATCCCATTTGTTTGACTACTAAGGGAGCATTATTAGAGAATCCTATCCCTTTTGGATTTTCTTCAAATGTGACCCTATTATACTGACGTGGAGCAGGTGAGGTCATTGTTGACACAAATTTCATATATTCCAATTAGCACAAAATATGGAGACGAATTACAAAAATAAATTTGTAATAAAGAAAACAAACAAGGGAATGAACTCTCTTTGATTTCTGCTCGAAGACGTGAACAACCTCTGATTGACGGTCGAATTTGGTGAAGATGAAGGTCGTTGGTGTGTTTCTCATACTTCTTGAAGTGTTGATGTAGATTTTCTTGATTTTGGTGTTTTGGAAGATTTGATGTAGATTTCTTCACTCCGGACTTCGTGCTTGATCGGTTGTGAATGATGCTTTTTTAAGAAGGGCCCTTTCGTGATGGCTTGATCTTCTTTGGAGAGCTTGAGTCCAAGTGAGTTGTAGAGAACTAAGAAAATTTTCCCTTCTTTCTTCTCTCTTGATCTTGTAGTTGTTGAAGTTTATAGGAACTTGTAGTTGCTTGCAATCCTTAAGTATTGGTGTGGAGAGCTTCTTGCAATGTGATTCTCCAAAAAGGAAGAACTCTTTCTTCTTAGGCAAGGCTATCTATAGCCAATGATTAGGTCTGCTATCTCAGCCCACTTTGTTAACCAATCCCATGTGAGTAGGGTGTTGGGTTAGCATTAAATCCTATACATGCACCATTATGTACGAGTTAGTGGTCTTGCCAATGGGACCACCCTATTACAATAGGAGATGGGTCTGATTGGATTTAATACACTTGAATCCTTAGGCCACCAAGACATTTATGTAGACTTGGGCCTTGGGCCCATGGAGGAGGCCCATATTATTTAGAGGCTGTCATGTAAATTAAGCCTACTTATTTGACTTAAAAAAATTCACATATCTACAAATGCCCCCTCGATGACGAGGTGACGAAGTTCTATGTGGTGCCGATGTCCTCGATAATGTTGATACCCATGTTGGATGATTGTTCAAATTGACCATTCAAGAAGACTTTTGTATAACTCCAAAGCATGAAGGAGACATTTCATGTTAACCTTTATTCCACTGTAATGGCTCAGTTTTGAATCGTGATGCACGTGGGATTCAAGAATGTAGCACTGTTCATTTGATTTACCAGACCAACAAATTTACAGGTCCCGTGGTGAATGCCAATGTCCCACTTATCTGGTTGCTCCATTAGCCAACTAATCCGATAGTGATTAGAAACTCCATGTGTTCTATTATTCTTGAAAAGCGTCACGGATAGGCTTGGAGTATTGGACTTTTAGTAAAATACAAACTCTCCATGTTTTGTTGCATAAATAGTCACCATGAATTGATGTTAGGGTTTTTACCTCGTAGAGACTAGTGTTGAATTTTCTGAATTTTTACTGAGAACCATCCCCTGTTGTGTAAGTTGCGCGCCGTTACCGGTATTGAGTTCCATACAGTTACTCTCAATTGTAGCTTGCTGTGAAGATCGTGGTTTCAGTTTGAAACCGTTCGCAAAGTGTTGTAGATGCTTTCTTGGTGGAAATGGTTGCTTGCCAAAGGGACCGAATTTTGGAGATTGAGACGGTTAAGACGAGTTGCCGTTTACTGTTAGATCCGTTCTCTTCAGGTTTGTTCTTGGCAAGGGCTCTTTATTTTCTGTTGTTAATGTTTAGAGGCTGTACAATGCACGTTTTGAATTCCACCACGTGAACATCTGTTCACCTTTTGCTCTATTTGTATGGCCAACATTCCACGATCCCACCATTCTAACCACATAAACATTTGTCGGTATGGACATAGCATGTTGATTTGACTTTCAGTCTTGGTCATGAGGTCACTCCATATGATAATCAACAAGAAAAATGAATTTTGGGATTTTAATTAGGCTCCCTTTTCCTTAGCAAAACAAGATCCTTGTCAAGAGAAAAGGATTCTCTTTCTTGGGTTGTTTTCACAAAATAAGAAAACAATCATGGAGAGCTTTTTGCTGATTAAAAATAGCCACGGTGGTGTAGTGTTTTGAGCTTAAGCTTGGGACTGCTAAACCGTGATCTGGTTAAACCATTCCACCTGTGTCCTATTCTTTCATGAATTGGGCTTGAAAGAGATACAAAGCCACATCATGGAGGCATAATTTCTAGGATGAGGTGCCTTTTACCATATTCATTATCTATCTATGATACTATAGTGGACTGTCAAAGCACTCGTCACTATATGTATTAGCATCCATCGAATTGTGATTTAAACATTCATTGAGTTGCTCGTCTTTGCAATAAAATCATTGTATTTCCTCCCTTTTAATATTTCTGAATTGGTAATGATGCTCCAGTCTGCATCACAGACCCGGATTCTCCATGATGTTGTGAGTTTCTTAAGACTGCAAGAGACTAATACCGTGAATCTTTCCTTGAAACTTCCTGCATGGTGGGATATCAGTGACTTGATATTTCCTTCACCTATTATTGGTTTGTATTTTAACCATAGGAGTCTGGAGGACTCAGCTTGAAACTAGATTACGCTGATTTCTGCTACAGGCATCATGAGTGTGGCCTACTTTTGTGGAATTATTCACTGTATCAAGTCGGAGATTCCATCTTCATCAGTGCCTAAATACGTCCCCCATGCTTCTTGAGGGGGGTTCGTTAAGCTCACAAATTCTAAAAGCACGAACAAATATGTCTATGCTTGCCACGATCACTGATTGAACTATCCTTGCAAGGTTGTTCCTTTTCAATCAAGCAACTGATTGATTGATTTGTCGCTGATGTACAAAGGATGGTAACATGCACTCCCAAATCTCATTGAGATTTCACAACCTTGGGTCACTAGATCAATGGGTTACATATATCCTGATCTTCCTATAGGACTGAGATGTAGGCCAGATAAGAGGGTGGTCTCTTCGAAGGATGAAGGAGAGCCTCCAAAGGGTGCGGAGATCTCTTGGTATGGGACTAGGAGAAGAAGATGAGAGAGTTATGGATTCCAGGGTATCAGTAGCTAGGATATTGAGGATTGATGCCCCTTGATGTGGGGATGACCCTCTATTTATGAAGAAGATCCTGAGATCCTAAAACTGGACATTTATGAGACTCGTAGTAATTTAAAATCTTCACAGTTGTTGGATAGATTTGGGGAGATTTATCCTGCCAAGGCTGACACTGATGTGCCGCCAAGTTGGTTGGGGTGGCTTGTCTTAGCTGCTAGGGTGAAACCTGAGGTACATGCAGTGTGGGTTTTTTTTGAAACCCTGAACTAGACCAAATTCTAGTATTGCCTTGGACCTTGGAGATAGATGGGCAAAACTGGAATGTTACAACTGACCCCTAGACTCGACTATGGTACTGCACTAGGTGTCAGATTGGACTATCTTTGATATACCAATCAGTGAGATCCTTAGAGGGGGTCAAAACCTGGGTATGTTGGGACAGTCCGAGAATTCACCTGAGTGGGTGATCATAGTGATAAGATCAACTCCTTTGTCAGACAAAGTGAATGATTGGGGAATGCACTCTCTCTGATGGAAACCTAAACTGTCGGCAGTTGATTTCAAACATTGAAATTTTTTTTGTGAAACATATTTATATAGAAATACACATACACACACACACACACACACACACACACACACACACACACACATATATATATATATTATGGTTTCAAAATGTTTTACCAAAGGCTTTAATTCCCAGGATCCATGTGAGTAGAGAGTGCAACACTGTTCCTTGCAGCCAAGGGAGAGGTCCTCTCTTGTCGGATAGTGTTTGATCATTATGGGCTGAGAGGTTAAGTATAAGACCATTGACGGTAATACCTGATGGGCTAATCTTGCATTTGCCCACAATCCTTGGGTTTTCATAAGGTGGCTGGACCCAATGATCATTTAGTGTAAATGTTGGGCCCATTAAGAGCCCATGGTGATAGACTTAGGGATTCACTGTCTCCTACAGTGAATTCGGCCATGCCTTGTAACAAAGGCTGGGCTGAATCCATGTGGCTGATGTGTAGATCAATGTTTGGGTCCCATGCCATACAAAGAGAGCCAATTGGGTAGTAGGTTAAGGGATAAGTGAGCACATAAGCTTAATGGGGCTAAAGCCCAATTCGAAATAGGCTTAAATTGTTAATTAAAAGGAGGCAAAATCTGATTTATAATCTGATTAGGATTAGCAGGAAGGATAAGATAAGTCTTATCCATTTAAGTGTCTAGATCCAAATATCAGATTTGGATCAAGAAACTCTCTCATAATTAGGTTAGGAGGCTAATCTAAAGAAGACTATAAATAGGAGGCAAAATCTGATTTATAATCTGATTAGGATTATTAGTTGAAAGGATAAGATAAGTCTTATCCATTTAAGAGTCCAGATCCAAATATCAGATTTGGATCAAGAAACTCTCTCCTAATTAGATTAGGAGGCTGATCCAAAGAAGACTATCAATAGGGGGCTAATTCCTTAGTTTTAAGACACAGAATAATCTGCTAAATTCTCTCTGATTCTTGCCATCCCTACCCAATTCCATCTCCTCTTGTGGATATGATCAAGAAAGGTTCTTGATATTGTTTCTTGGTTAAGAAACAATCTGAAGTCGTGCTCACCAGCCCCTGTTCGATTCTTATTGAAGAATCCTAGTTCTTGCTGAAGAGCCATCCTACTGATCCTGTTTCATCTCACACTCCGTTATT